GTTAAGGACTTACCTTAACTGATGCCTCTTGATCCGATCATCTTCTTTACTGTAGTTTTCAGGAGTCCCTCCAGCGCTGGTGTTGGTCTCTGATTCAGCGCAGACTTCTCTCTCTTCCTGGCACTTCCTGTCCCACGGAGTCTGTGCAGGTGTACGCTGCCTCCATTGACTTACTTTCTGTCTCTCCTCGTCTCCCGGTCCAAGATCTGAACCGCGCATGCGCCCGCCCCATGACGGTGCCTGATTCAGCGCAGACTCCTCTCTCTTCCTGGCACTTCCTGTCCAACAGAGGCCGCCCGAGAATCTTCAGATCTTCGGACGGAGCGTGCTGCAGAGACACAAGTACGATTAAACCCTCTTGTAAACTTTTTTTCTTTTTATGTTTTTGCATGTTCTTGCTAGCAGTGGATATATGCAAAAATACGCGAGGGTTTAATAATCAGTATCTATGCAGTATTGCATCACAATGCACTGCTAGTGTGAGAATGCTAGTGCTGGGGGAATGTTATTTTAAACTCAATTTTGGAAACAGAAGTCAGTATCAGCTCCTATGGCTCATAGTTCTGAGACCATGCTGTCAAAGGCATGGATGCTGGTGGAATGTTATTCTGTTTGGAATTGGGAGCCTGTTGCAGCTTCTGTGGTTCCTATCTCTGAGCGCTTTCAATGGCAGCATTGGTCTGGTGATTTCTCCAACAGGGACACAAACAAAAATACATTTCCGTAGAGCATGGAAGAGTTGGAACTTTTGACAAATCATATTTTGCTGCCCTGATGACACCTCCCCCCCCCTCACTTCCTGTATTGACATCACAGGAGGTCATGGAATAACACTTTGGTTCCATTTTAAAAAATATTAATTCACCTTATTTTTAGTACAGTGTGCCCTTTGTAAATGTGGAGAAATATCACTGACATTGAAGCTCCAAAAATGGCATACAATGAAAAGGTGTTTAGATTTCAGTACCACTTAATTATAAATAGACCCCTCTGTAGCCTTTGGAAACCTTCACAAGGCTTTTTGTGTGGAATCATGGAATAAAAGAAGTGTATCTTCTCTTTGCTGTCATCTTCCATACTCATAAATACTGCAGCAATACTAGCAATGAACACTAGATGGCATAATAATAAACTAAGTTAATTTTTCTAACTTGTGAGTTAAAGTGACATTAAAGGCAAACATACATTTTCCCTCCCCCCCATGTAAATGTTAGCACTTACCTTAAATGATGTCTCTTTTTCCGATCTTCCTCTTCTTTCCCCATGTTTTCATCTGTCCCTCCAGCGGTGTGACGTCACTCCGATCCAGCGCTGACTGCTCTGTCTCTCCGATCCAGCGGTGTCTGCAGGCGGGTGCACGCGTCCATAGACTTACCTTGCGTCTCTGCTCGTCTCCCGGCCGAGAATCGGAACTGCGCATGCGCCCGCCCCAAGATCCTTGCGGCCGTAGATCACTTCCTGATTCTCGGCGCGGGAGCGAGCGGCGATAACGAGGTAAGTTTAAAATGATTTTAAGCGTTTTTTGTTTTTTTTTACACTTCTTGCCTATATCTACTGCTTGCTAGCAGTAGATATAAGCAAAAAAAACTGGAGGGTTTAGAACCCCTTTAAAGTGACACTAAAGTCAGGAGTTAATTCTTAAAAATACCTTAAGTACCTTAAAGCGGTCCTTTTCACTCAAAAATCTAATTCTACCAATGCATCCCTCTATGTATGATGATCAATAATTCACTTCCTGCTTTGAAAGGGCAAAATGGCGTCAGTTTGCCAAAGCAATGCACACTGGGATTGCCTTGTCATCAGCAGAGCATTGCTGGGAAATCTCATCTATAATCACATGAGATCTCATGTCTATTCACAAGTGGCAGATTTTCAGGAAGTAAAGGGAGAGCTAGTAATCTGCCCTTAGTAAACATGGCCACTGTCAGAAGACTGGGGAAGAAAAGACAAACAAGGTATGCAAAGAATACAAAGCCGGCAATTATCTAGAAGTATGTGTTTGTAGATTGTCATCACTAAACATTTCTAAAGGTGTGCTTGTTGTTATTTTAAATATACGGGTAAAGGTCCACTTGACAAAAATGTATCTTATTTGTGTATCACTCGGCTGTAGATCCTCGAATCATCTCTGAATTGGTGCTGACACTGTCCTTCCTTCTGGAGGGTGACTACTGTTGTTCCCCATGGTCCCTGTGTGTGTGTGTGTTGTAAAGTAGTCACCGCTCCAAGCTCTCTCTTGTGATGGACTACAATCTCATGTTTTGTATTGAGATTGTAGCAGTTATGTCTGCTAGCGTTCATTATCATTTGTGATGTGCTTTTAATACCACAAATAGGTTACACAACCCTTAATTAGCCATACAAGGGGAGTAACAAATATCAATGACAACGTCTCACCAGCTACACTTACACAATCTGATACATTTCTAAACATGTTTAATGAAAGAAAACATGGTTACATTTGGGGTGCTTTAAGACGGTTGTAGCAGTACTAAAAGCTTTTCAAGAAATCTGGAAGTACTCAGCTATGCTCAGGTACCTTGATGGTGCTAATGGTTCAGAATTCCTATTGGAATTAAGTATAGCAGAAGTTTACAGACATAAATGTAACACAGAAGGATTCATGTGCTGTCAACACCAGTTACATAGTGAACACTGCTGCTTAGAGAATCATTGCTAACAATAACAATGCGTAGCAGCAATCAGTTAAAATGTCATAGATTTTAAGGGGATCCCATAGAAAAACAGCCAAAAAAAGTGGGTTTCCCCCTTCACATTGAAGTCCACCTTTCACATCAGAGTTCCCCCGTTTACATCAGGAGCCCCCTTCACCTCAGTCTTCATTCCCCTCTTCACATCACAGCCCCACTACCTCATATTTTGAGGCACCCCTCAGGAGGCACAACAGTGTGCCATGTCTTCCTGGTTGAGAAATTCTGGTGTAAAGTACATATTTGTGTACTTTAGGCATCAGAAAAAAAATGGATATATTTGGCTACCCAATCTTCATTAGAAAGTATCAAAAGTATGTGGAGAGCGTGCACTCTATGCATTGCACAGATCTGCAGACACCTATTTATAGGTAGTATCCAGATATTTTCCTGAAGCAAATTACATTTTAGGTGTCTCTTTCCTTTGTATATGCAGAGCAAATTAATAGGGTCACTTCCTTCCTCCCCACTTCCTTTCCAGCAACATATACTCACCTTTTTTTCTCGCTGCTCAGTTCAGCCACCATCAATGGAAACACCTGGAAGTTCCAGGTATGGGTAAACATGTGACTCACTTC